GGGTTGTAGCCTTTCCTCCTGAAGGCCCAATTTTTTTTTTATTATTATAGAAACAGTTTTTAAAATTTTTTTTTTTCGCGTTAGCCCGGTTTGAAATTTTGTAGCCCGGTCTTGGATCCAATTCTAGATCCGTCCCTGATTGAAAATAATATAAAAACGACTACTTTAACTACCATTAAAAGAGGGTGGTCTTCTCATAAACATTTAATTTTTTTTTTAATTCCCTCGATCAAGATTCACATAATTAATAATAATAATTCATTTTTCAATCACCAGACCCATAATTTTTGTAGCATCTTTCATCCATAGATCATATTTTATGATCCAGATTCTGAGATTCATAAATTTGAAAGAAATGTAGAAAACCCTTTTGAAGTTGGAAAACGATTGATGGTTTTCATTTTGATCTGACCGACTGTAAATATATTACATGTAGGGAGAGAATGAGGTTAGATTATTATAAGATATTAAGAAATCCAATAGTCACAGAGGATGATTTCAAGAAAGCTTACAGAAGATTAGCGATGAAATGGCATGCAGATATGATAAGAACCCCAATTTTCTCAATTTTTGTCACATGATTCGTAGCTAGGAAATCATTTGGTCTAATGACCGCGTTCATTTAATGGCCAAATAAATGAGAAGCATTTAATACAATAACAAATATACATGAAAATAAGTACTTAAATATTAAAGATCTAATATTGAAATTAATCAAATTAGGTTAAGCAACATCAATCATCACAACCTCGATAAGTTTATCTCATTGTAAAGAAATAACAAAAATGAAAAGAGTTAGAAAAATGCATTACAAGTTAGAGAAGACAATGGACAAAATACAAGACAAAATGTAGAACCCATCTCTTGATTTGATTTTGCTATTTCTCCCGAAATCTCTCCACTTTTCTTGATTTTTCTCTCTCCCTGTTGACATACAAAAAATGTAGCCCAAATTGAATAGTTCAAGGAATGAAGTCCAATTAGGAAATTCAGAATAAAGGCCCAAATATGACCATTAATGAATGCAATGGAGGCCAACGAACAAAGTACCATCATCGCCCAAACTCGCAAGACGCCCAGAGAGAATGGAGTGCCTTACAATCGCCCAGAGCGATGAGCTTATTCTTACCCAAACTTCGAGTCGTCCAGGATTTGAGCGAATACAAGGTATTATGCTTATCCAGTACAGCAGTTATTGAAGCGGTTATTAATCAACCTTATCACACCCCACGATCCAAGAATCTCGGTTTTAAACAACAAGAGTAATGGCAACAGTTAGAGACGACAGTTCCATGATAAGTCAGCTATCATGAAGAAAGTTAGTAGTTATAGAGCACCAAGCAGTTATTCGCAAAGAAACTATCAAGGGAGTATAAAAAGGAAAAGAAGACATTGACGAAAAGATCCCGAATCAAACACTCTTAATAGAGAATATGTAATTTCAATTTCTTAGTTTAACTTTAAAACATCTCTTTTTTAGTACTCGTGTGCTTGCACCCCTTGGAGGCATTCTGTTTATTTCCAATTGTAATTTTCATTAATAAAGCACCCATTTTTGGGACTTTATCTCAACAAGTTTGTTCTTCACACAATCGTCTGAACCTTTTTTTAATTGTTAGCGATAACCCACGCGAAACAATTTGGCACGCCCAGTGGGACAATTGGTGTTAGGTGTTTAAGGTTACAAAAAAGTGAAACATTATGCCTCATAAAAATTCTGATAAGGAACCAGCAAGTCATGGAGTAGTCCAGTCTGTGATCGAGCGATATGAGGAGTAGCAAAGCTCTCCAGGAACAGAGGGACAGAGTCAAAGTCGCTACGAGCCAATGACGGAGTTGAGTCCTCGAACCATGCGTGCATTGCTTGGGAAACTCACACAGGATGTCGTTGAATAGGTACATCTACGAAATGTTCATAATATGAAAAGATTTACCCAAAATGGGAATACACATTATG